AAAGTAAACGTCATAATAATGAGTTATTACCTAAAAGTATAAGAGGTATTATTGTTGGAAAATCAGGTTGTGGAAAGACAACATTATTATTAAACTTGCTCTTAAGACCTGGTTGGTTAGACTATAATCATTTACAAGTTTTTGGAAAGTCACTTTTTCAACCTGAATACAAAATATTGAAAAATTCTTTTGAAAATAAATTACCAAAAGAAGTTATTCTTAAACTATTTGAGTTGCAAGATCAAATAAATAAAAACAATGTAAATCCAGAGTTTATTATTAAAAACATTTCAAGAGATTTAAAAGATAAAACAGATATAGAGTGTCAATTTTTTGAATCAGCAGAGAATGTACCAGAACCTGAAAATCTTAACTGTATTAAAAATAATTTAATGATATTCGATGATTTACAATTAACAAAACAAAACAAGTGTGAAAAGTACTATATAAGAGGAAGACATAGCAATGTAGATTGTTTCTACTTGGCACAAAATTATTTTGAGTTGCCTAGGAGAACGATAAGAGAAAATGCAAATTTTATATGCTTGTTTAAACAAGATTCTAAAAATGTAAATCATATTTATAATGACCATGTTTCAAATGATATGAAATTAGATGAGTTTAAAAAGTTTTGTAATGAAGCTTGGTCAAAAAAGCATGGATTTGTTGTTATAGATTTGTCTTCTGATCTATTAAATGGAAAGTATAGAAGTGGATTAGATTTATTTTATTATCCAACTTCATTGTGGAATCGATAAATATATATTTTTTAAAAAATATATATTATAAGATTTAGCGAAGATTGGGTTCTTTCAGAACTTAGCGAAGCCTGGATCACGAAGTGATCTAAAGAAGAAGACCTAATAAGGGTATATTCTTAAATGGAGAATTCTCTCCTAATAACAATCCTCTACCTACTGATGAATATTCATTTCCATTTTTTGAATAATATCCGTCTAAATAATTATAACTACCATTCCATGGGTTTAAAAATACTCCTTTTCCTACTTTTCTAATTTTATATCCATAACCATTCTTTTTTCCATAAATAATACCATTTCCAGCAATTTTATTAACTATAGCATGTCCAGCAGCTGCACCTACTCCTGTTAATGCTGCTGTTGCTATAACCGGAGCAGCATTTGCAATTACACTTCCAATTAATCCAAGTAGAGGTAGAAATCCACCATTTTTTTTAGCATTATGTTTAAGTTGTGCTCTACTCAGTGAAAGTGTTATACCCTTATTTTTTAAATAGGCTGCTCTCATTCTGTTTCTTTGTGAATCTGTTAAAGCTATTTTATGTTCACCATTTAGATCTTGATGTGTTAGTTTTATAAGAGCGTTAGTATCAGATTCAATTGCTTTTTTAATTTTTTCTTTCTGACTATCTGAAAGATTGATAAGAGTATCATAGTATTTTGTCATTTTTTATATATAAAATAATTTTTTAAATCACTTTGTGATTCTAAGTTATTGCTTTCTGTAATGCTTTATACTCATCATCATCTATTTGACCCTGTCGTAACAACTCATCACAAATAGCAACAATCTCATTTCTTGTTCCAGTATTTCCTGCTTGTAAAGCAGCTAAGCGTAATTTAAGCATATCAAATAGTACATTTGGATCACTAGGAAGAATGACAACTCCTTTTCCAGACTTTCCAATCATCTCTTCCCAAATAGGTTTTATTACATTAGCGTACTTATAACTTTTAGATGATCTCGGTTTAGCTGAATTTAAATCAGAGCGAATTGCATCTGTTTGATTTAAAATTTCTTTATACTTATTACGATCATCGTTAGTATATCTAACAGGATGAGATTTTACTATGATTTCCCAAAGACCAGGTGTACCAGTGTATTTTTTACCTTCAATAGTTATATCATTACCTTCAATAGTTATTGGTTTTTTACCAATGTAAAATTTTTTATCACCTTCATTGTAATGTATACCAAATATATCATCTGATACTTTTTTACTATTTTTAGCAGTATATAACTTTAGATATTCTGCTGCGATAGGTCCTAATGACATTTTATCTACAACTTCAGGTGGCATGATTGATTTAGTTTCAGAATCTAGTAAAGCAGGATAACTTGAAAAAGTATTAGCTATTTGATCAGCTTTATTTTCTAATTTAGATATACCTTCTTTTATTCCAGATTGACTATCAATTATTGGTTTGTACAATTTTTCCAAGTTAGTCTGTAAAGCATCATAACCTAACTTTTCATTTACATCATCTTGATATATACTTTTCTTTAAACTAGCAAGTTCTTTTGCTATTTTTAATCTTGCTTCAATATCTGTAGCTTTTGCAAACATTTTTATATATGCAATAATTTTTTTAAATCACAATGTGATTATCAGATCCCTAAATGGATTAAATCAACATATATTATGTTTGTAATACATAATATATGTTCAATTAATACATAATATATGTTTTTTTATTTAATTCTTAAGAGTATTATTCATCATTCCTATATTCTGATTTTTGTTAAATCTCATAATTAACACTTCAATGACATCATTTGTACCTTTTTCTATTCCTTTATTAAATATTGACTCTTTAGTCTGCTCATCTATATCTTTCTTAGATTTTGTTCTAATTTGTTCAGTCATAGCTTGAAACTTTTCAAGTTCTGAAAGTATCATTGTAAATTCTACATCATCGATAAAACCATCTTTTAAAGCTTTAGAAATATGATCGCTTATCGTATTTAATTTCGCATCAGCTAGTACTTTAATCTTTTCATGCTTTTCTGCTTTTATTGCTAATTTTTTAATAGCTTGTGATCCTATTAATGATAATACACCCATACCTAATGCTGCACCTTCACATGCAATAGCTACTGGTGTTCCAACTATTGTTGTTAAAAAACCAATACCAACAGCTCCTAATGCCATAGTGCTTGCTAGTAATGTATTATCAACTGCTGAAATGATTCTTGAAGCTCTGTGATATTTTTTACTTAGCATAGCTCTTCTATTTCTTTCACATTCCATTTTATTTTGAATTTCACTTATCTTATCTAATCTATATCTCTGATCTATAGATAGTGGTGGCGCAGATGGATTTTCTGAAAACTGGTTAAGATCTGGATAAAGCTGTTTACATTCATTATTACATTGCATTTTCTATAAAGAAAAATTTGTTTTAAATTACTTTTTACCAAAATCAAATAGAGCATTGTCAGATTTATCTATACTAGGTTTATCTTCATCACATATAGCTTCTTTAATTATATCTCCTACACTAGATAATAAAGATTTTACAGATTCTTTATCACTTTTTGATCTAGATTCTACTTTTTTATCAGGTTCTAAAGAAGCTCTATGTGATATATGATTTGTATTAAAAACACCATTATAAGATGAAATACAGCATAACAAATCTCCTTTTTTAATGTTTATATCTTTTTTATCGTTATTATATAAAGTTATTTTAATATCATCAGTAGACTCTATTACAACAGAATTTAGTAAATTTAGAGTAGGTTTATAATTTTCTGCAAGTGAAATCATTACATGTCCTTGATGTAAAAAATTACACTTTTTATTATCATTAATATTTTTATATAATAATATTTTTTCTCCTTTTTTATTTTTCTTTAATTTACTCTCTACTAATTTACATGGAGTATAATGACAAATTTCTACATTTTCTTCAATTTCTTTAAAAGAATGAGCATATTTGCAATTTATATTTTTACATTCTTTTTTATCAAGAATATATTTGCATAATTTAGTTTTAGCTTTTCTTAATTTAGATAATTCTGACTTTTTAGGATGAAATAATACACATTTTTTATTCTTACATTTAGGATATTCATAGCAAATATGAATATGTCTATATTGACATGAAGATTTAGTGCATATTAGTCTTTCCTTAACAGTATTACAATAAGGAATAACATGATTGTATTTACATTTTCTTCCAAAAGGACAATAATTATCTTTTAAAATATTTTTACAGAAAATAGGTAGTTTTTCTACAAAATGAATTGTTGAAGGTTTTCCATCTTCAGTAAAATTAATATCTACATTAAATGGTTTTTCAAAACTAAATTTTCTTTTTTTATAATGTTTTTTAAAAGAAGTATTATCTATAGCAGGATAATCATCATTAATAACATTATAAGTTGGAACATAATTAATCCAATTCAGCTTATCTTTATGCAGTTCCATGATTTGAACTGTTTTTAAAGGAATTGGAACTATAGGTTTTTCTTTAACTTCATCTTCATCATCAGATGTAAAATAAGTAGCTTCATCAGATGTATAATAAGTGTTATCTTCAGAATCTGATTCTTCAAATTCAAATTTTAATATTTCTTCAAAAAGTTTAAATTCTTTTTGAAATTCAGATATTTCATTAATCTCATCATCATTCATTTTTATTTTTATTATTTGTAAAAATATTTTAAATCAAAAAAATTAAAAATGAGTTAAATAAATTTCTTTACATAATAAAAAGAATGGAAAACGAAATGCAAAATTCATTTTTAAAATCAATAGAACAAAGATTAAGATTAATAGAAGAAAAATTAAATATTATTGATATTCATGATATTGAAATGACTGAAGATTCTGAAGTTACTACAGTTACTACTACTGAAGTTACTGAAATTACAGAAACTACTGAATATGTTAATGATATTGAAATGACTGAAGAAGATGATGAAGATGAAGATGATGAAGATGATGAAGATGATGAAGAAGTTACTACAGTTACTACAGTAACTACTGAAATTACAGAAACTACTGAATATGTTAATGATGAAGATGATGAAAGTACACAGAATTAAATATTTTTCATTATTTTATTTTGTAAAAAATAAAATAATTTATTTTCATAAAAAATTGAAAATGAGTTAAATAATTTTCTTGTGTATATAAAAAAGAATGAATCTAGAAAATAATTTTGAGAATAATAAATTTTTAATAAAACCTTCAACTCAGGTATATTATATTACTGCAATATTAAAAAAGTATGGGTATAAGAATGGTGAAAATAAAGTTGACTTTGCTGCAAGTATAGGCAAAAATGATATTATTACTTTATTAATTCAATTAGGTTATAAAGGACATCTTGAAGTAGTGAAATATTTACATTCTATAGGATATAGAGAAGAATGTTCAATCGATTATGCTGCAAGTAATGGTCACCTTGAAGTAGTAAAATATTTACATTCTATTGGATATAAAGGTTTCGACAATGCAATTAATAATGCTGCAACTAATGGTCACCTTGAAGTAGTAAAATATTTACATTCTGTAGGATATAGAGGAACAGATTGGGCAATCGATTATGCTTCAGAAAATGGGCATCTTGAAGTAGTAAAATATTTACATTCTATTGGATATAGATGTTTAAATTGGGTATTTAATTATACTGCAAAAAATGGTCACCTTGAAGTAGTAAAATATTTACATTCTGTAGGATATATAGGATCAGATTGGGCAATTGATTATGCTTCAGAAAATGGACATCTTGAAGTAGTAAAATATTTACATTCTGTAGGATATAGAGGAACAGAATTGGCAAGTGATAATGCTGCATGAAATAGACATATTAATACTTTTGATACACATAGTGACTATAAATTCTAGTAGTGATAAAGTTAAGACAATTCTACTACTATGTATAAAAAATAACGCATGCGCACAGATCTGAAAGATCAATTAGCGCACAAAAGCAATCTGCGATAGCAAGAAAAAAAATTGAAAATAAATTTCTTTAAATAAATTATAAGAAATGCTTCGTTCAAATAAAGTTAAAGATAATAAATATTTAACTCATAAACAAAAGTTAGCTTTAAATTGTTATTTGCAAAAACAATTTAAATTATAATATGAAAAGTTAGAAAAGGAAAGATTAGAAGAAGAAAAGTTAAAAACACCAGATAATATTTATTATTAGAAAAAGTCATGTGACGTCACAGCAAGAAAATCACGTGACCTGTGACGTCATTTTTTCGACAAGAAATAAAATATTAATACTTATTTAAAAAAATTCAATTTTTTCAAATTTATATAAATTTGAAAATTTATTTCTTATATAAATAATTATACACATCATGGTTAGAAATGAACCCTATATTTTTTAAAATATATGGTTGAAAATATGGTTAAAAATAAAAATATTCTATTAACTCTCCTTTCTATACTACTTATATATATATATATATATATATATATATATATATATATATATATATATATATATATATATATATATATATATATATATATATATATATATATATATATATATATATATATATATATATATATATATATATATATATTTATGTATATATATATACACACATGGGTGTCCGCAAGATTTTGTGCCGGAGGAGGGGTCACTAAGGGTTTCAACTTTCCGGATATTACTCTGTGTCTTTTTTGCTAAACATGTCAATCCCCAATAAATCAGAAAAAATCATTGACTAATGTTAAAGATAGATGTTTGATAGTTATGGTATAGTATTAAGTAAATATTCAATTAATACACAGTATTAAAAGGTTTTAAACTCTATATAAGCTTTTAAAGGAATAACAGACGGTTCCAGTGCTGCAAACGTGAAAATATACTTAAATATCTTTGAAAAGAAACGACTGTCAATGTGGATCCCACACAAAAATATCAATAATTTTCTGCATATAGTTTAGACTTGTTGCTGTTTACACTATTATAATGAACGTTCTACAAACACAACCCCTAAAAACCGGTTGTTTTTTTGTTTTGTTTTTGTTCAGCGATGGTTTTTTCCGGTGGAGTCAGTGTAATAAGTAGAAAATGAAGAGTTGGGTAAAAAATATGTCCTTTACAACAAATTAATAAGTTGTATATCCTCCTTGATTCCTTGCGATTGCTCATTTGTGTACCAAAAATTCAAATCTATTCACCGCTTCAATATTGAAGTTATCAATACTGTACACACGGCTGATGGCAGCCATGCTGCTTCTAAATTCAGCAGAATGAAGTCGTGTTAAGATTACAGGCTGGAATGATGACTTATATCTTTAAAGAAATGGTTTATTAAAGATGATATGATGGAATCCAGTGTGGCACAAATATTGTTTGTTTAAAGTAGTCTTTCCGTAGGTTTGTGCCTTTTCGCTTAAATTATCAAGATTGCTTCAAAGTACTAGCTCTCTCCATAAACAAAGAGCTTTCTTCTCAATGTTTATTGAGTATGTGAGAGTAATTACATTATTATATATATATATATATATATAAATATATATATATATATATATATATATATATATATATATATATATATATATATATATATATATACATATATATAAATATGTATATATATATATATATACATATATATAAGTATATATATATATATATATATATATATATATATATATATATACATATATATATATATATATATATATATATATATATATATATATATATATATATATATATATATATATATATATTTATATATATATATATATATTTATATATATATATATATATATATATATATATATATATATATATATATATATATATATATATATATATATATATATATATATATATATATATATATATATATATATATATATATGATTTTTTACTTAGCGGACAATACGTTTCATAAAACAATTACTCATTAGGAATTTTTTTTTTAAGTTGATTAAGGTGCCCCAAGAAGTCATTACGGTCTTATCACAGAGCACCGCAGAAGAGCATTTAATAGGAAGTTCACGCCTCCTTCCCAACCAATGTCGCAAAACTTACCCAGAGGTGGGGTTTGAACCACGGATCTTACGTTTCTGGGGCAAGTGCGCTACCACTAATTAATAACCTTCGATAAATGCTGATATATGCAATATATGAATTAATAACTTTTGATATATGCTTTCTGGAAAAACTTGATGACAGCCTTAGTTATAAAAATTGCATCACGCACTTGCACAACTGAAGCAAAATCATTAATGACTAGATTGAGACAATGTGAGTTGTGAAAAAATTTGAATATTTTACCCTGAACCCTTTCTTTCTTACCAACCATTGTTAAAAAGCTTTTTCAGAGTAATTTTGTAATGTCCAGTCTGCATTTATTGCAGTGATTCAAATTTGTATTTGCAATCATTTTATGAATGCTAGGAATAATGCAGCATCCTGTGCCACACACTTAATGATTTCAAACGTTTTGCGGAATTGTATTTTTTAAATGATGATGTAATACACACTGGTATCCACAATGAACGCGCTATAAGAAAACAGCACAAGACATATTTAGCGGTTAAACTTGCAGCCTTTCTTGAGGGTTAAGGTGATTTCAGCTTTTTTTGTTGATACGGAACTTAACCACCTTCAAGCGATTCGTAGAAAATAGTTCTGAGTAGAATAGCAAAGTCTTCCAAACAGTATTTAACTTGGGATGAGTGCCGTTAAATTCTGGTTGAAAATAATAAATTATTGCGTTGCAGATTACTTTAAATTTTGTGAATGTGTTCTGTTGCTGTTGTTAGGTTCTGTTGCTATTGTTAGGTTCTGTTGCTGTTGTTAGGTTCTGTTGCTGTTGCTATATTCTGTAGCTGTTGTTAGGTTCTGTTGCTGTTGTTAGGTTCTGTTGCTGTTGCTAGGTTCTGTTGCTGTTTGATTATCAGTTGTATCCATCTTCTACTGAAAATAATGGAGAAAGTTATTTTCGTTGCAAAAAAAAGAAAAATCAGTGAACTGATCAGTGACTAGTGAACAAAAGCGACCAATTTTAAAGATTTAAATAAAAATTATAGATTTTTAGTAGTTCAGGTGTGTAGACAGTTGTTAGATATAGCCAAATAAGAATTTATTTTGTTGATTCTTGACCTATGCTGCTAACTTTGACCTAAGTTGCGGACGCCTATTAAATATATACATCATCAAGTCTTATTTATTCATCACTTATTATTCTTATTCATCGCTTCCAATAAGTCTTCAAGATAAAAATATGTAAGTTTGTAAAATAGTACGTTTCTCTTTATTCTTTCTATATTTCTTTTGTTAAATTAAAATTCGAATTTTTTCAATCGACGACGTTAACTATTTTTTGTTAATTTTCTTTGTAATAGTGCGACAGGTTTGTGAAAAAATCTTTCAGTTAATGATACAAGCACAAAACTTGGCAAGAATTGTAGTTTAACTATGTCTTTGACAAAAAAGCACATTAGCTACAAAAAAATCAAATTGGTGACCATTTTTTAAGATGGCGGACATTGACCAGAAATTTAGATACAAGAATTGACTGTGCCTTAGGGTGTATCAAAAACGAACTTCCCAGCCCCCAGGATACCTTTCAACGTTTTCCCATTCTTTGAAGTCCACTGAGGCTAAAAATCAAAAGAAAAAAAAAAATGATTACCAGGAAGTGATAGCTGTAAAATTCAAAAAAACTGATTTTTCGAAATTAAATGCCCGTTACATCAATGTTGAATCAATATTTAGAGAGATTTATTTTTATCTTTTGTTTTGTTTTTAATAAAGTTGATAACAATGCCTAGGTTGAAAAAAGTTGTTATTAGTCTGATACATTTGTTTTTATAAGCATATTATTAAAATCATTACTTATGCTTACGAAAACGTGTGTTTTTTTGTAAGAAAGTCAAGATACTTTTAAGAATTCCTACACGTCATATTTTTTTATAAAAATCCTCAAATACCAACAAAGGAAAAAACAACCAAATTAAAAAACAACGATAGTCTTATAGATGTTTAAAAATTAGTACATGTACTTATGGAATTGTGCTCAAAAAGATTAAAAAGATAAATTTAATTACTCGGTTATGGTTACATGTTTTTTAGATTTTTAAGGTGATTAAATTTACTCATGTATGTTATTTAAGATTTTTAGATTAAATACATGTATGTTATTTAAGATTTTATTTAAGATATATTAGGATTTCATAGTATTTTGTAATATGAGCCATTCTCGCTCAAAATATACAAATAATGGAGAAAAGAGAAAAATACAGACCAATCCCAGAAGGCTACTGTTTTTTCTCAAGTATCCTATCAACCAGTTAACTATAAACCAGCATTGGAAACGTTTTTAGATACATACAGTTTATCAAATCTTTAAAGTCTTTGAAATTTAAATCTGATAAGCCAATTGTAGCTTGCTCTCAATTGTTTCTAGGCAAAGGTCTTATCTGCAAGGGTGGATTATGTAGAAATCTCAACTGCTCTTGTAATGGATGTGTGTAACAAAGCTGGTTTCGAAGAGTTTATCCTTTCCGGAGCTGCTGTCAAGTAAGAAATAATACAATTTAATTAGTATAAATATAATATAAGTAAATTAACAAACATAAATATTAATAATATGATTTATAAAAAGTAATTATACCTTGGTAATTATGAAACTTTATATAATGATTTTTTATATCGTTAAGGGATAAGATTTTGAAACTCCATACTAAATATTGCAAGCTAATCCATTTGAGAGAACTGGTACTAAGATTCAGACAGAGTTCATTCAGGAGAGCACTAAACTCTTTTACATATCTGTAGCGAGGTTTGAGGAAAAAATCCAATCAGATCG